GATATCAGCCCTTCTGGGCAGGCTCCTCTGGGTATGTCAGAGATAGGGCTGGTTCACTTCTGCATAGTCACCTGATGTGACTCTCTCTGAACCGGGGGAAGTGAAATGGGGGGAGGGGCTGTGACTATGGATTCAGGGTTCAAGTTTCAACAGTTCCATCATTTGGAAGAATTGCTGGTGCAGCTGACCGATTCTAGGAAGCCACTTTCCATCTGAGGAACTGACCACCCATAAATGGCCGCTGATGAGTCTTGTGTAGTTAAAAGCCTGAGGGTGTGTGCACGTTGACCATGTACAGGCTTGTCAGTATTTCCTAGACAGACCATCTAGTAACTACTTACAAAATGCTTAAATTATATCATGCATTGTGTAATCTAGACAAGATTGTGTGCATACTGCAAATACTGTGTCCTCCTAGGGTCTTGAGAATCTGCAGGTTTGGGTATCCAGAAAGAGGGAAGAGGTTACAGAAGGAACCCTTTGTGAAGACTGTGTGACAGCTGTGACAACTGTTAGGGTTACAGAGGACAAAGTGGGAGGAGATAAATACAAGTTAAGGGAGGAAAGCTTTTATTCTGGTTCATAGTTCAAGGTTCTGTCCATCATAATGGGGAAGTTGAGGCAGGAAGAGCTTGAAGCAGCTGGTGACATCACATCCATAGTCAGGAACCAGAGGTAAAGTGTCATGGTTTGGATACACTTGGCCCAGGGAGTGGCACTATCAGAAGGTGTAGCCCTGTTGGAATAAGTATGTCACTGTGGGTGTGGGCTTTAAGACCCTCATCCTAGCTGCCTGGAAGCCAGTCTTCTCCTGTTTGCCTTCAGATGAAGATGTAGAACTCTCAGCTCCTTCTGCCACATGCCTGCCTGGATGCTGCCATGTTCCTGCCTTGATGATAATGGACTGAACCTCTGAACCTGTAAGCCAGCCCCAATTAAATGTTGTCCTTATAAGAGTTGACTTGGTCATGGTGTCTCTTCACAGCAGTAAAACTCTGACAGAAAAGAATGCCAACACTAGGCACTTGGTGTTATGCAGTCCAGCTCACCTGCCTAGAGAAAATCACACACAGAATAAAAACAGGTCTCCTCACTCAGTGTATTCAAGACAACCCCTCACAGGCATGCCCCATGGCCCGCCCCCCAAAGCATCCCAAATTCTGTCATTGATAGTTAACACTGACACCCTGTGACATCTCTATGATTTATGAGTCAGTAGATGAGTGTGGATTACCATGCATGGTGGCGGCTTGTCCCTCTACCTTCCAGGACCTTAGCCTACAGACAGAGCAGTTAATATTCTTGATTCCAAAACTATCTGTTTCAATCCAGATTGAGACTCTAAAATTTTTCACCTTGTCCCTTAGGTCACTGAAGCTCTGGGCAGCGAACACGTTTTAGAAAATGATCAAGCCACAGATGTTTCTATTTTCAGCTTGCTTTAGTCGTCCTCCCTACATCCGTGTGTTCACCGTGCATGCTTACTATCTGCGCTGTTAATCCCCCAGCACAGGGCGCGTGTTGGTTGTGTTGAGTAGACAGAACAGTTTGTAAACTTTATAGAATCTCATGGGTGCCTTTTCTTTGGCGCAAATTCTATTATTTGTTCTCTGTAAGTGCTGGGGCTCTTTTTATAGAGCCAAACTTATTCCAAGTGACCATAATTACTGTCTTTGCAATGTTGAAATCATCTCTGCCTGGCCATCTGGATTCCTCCTTATTTAGGCATCTTTGTCTTTTTAACATTGACCTGGACATCTCTGAGGCCTTGCTCTTTGGCAAAAACACTTGCCTGCCTTCATGACCTTTGCCTGTGTGTGTGTGTGTGTGTGTGTGTGTGTGTGTGTGTGTGTCCCCTTAAGTCTAGTCACAGTACCCCTTCTTAGAATCCCATTTTAGCAAATTATGGTTTGCTCTGTGGTATTGGGTTCTTGTGTGAAACATGTTTCTTCATTTAACTACTGACTTCCTTCTCACCCTTGCAATTCTCTCAGATGAAAAGACCTTTTTTATTAAGTTTGCTTACCTCCCACCAAACGACATCATAAATTACGATATCATCAAAAGCTTTATAAATCTTCATCTTTTTTCTTTTAAGAAAATAGTTCCAGACAGCAATTTTTACATATTGGGGCTGGGGGTCAGGTGTGTGAGCCTGGGAGAGAGGGCGAGGAGAATGGATAGAAGTTAGCAGCTGAGGTTGGGGAGCATCTCTAGGATGTGCCAGACACCTGGGATGGGGGGCTCCAGAGACTCTATAGGGGTGACTCTAGCTGAGATTCATAGCAGTGGGGACATGGAGCCTAAAGTGGCCACCTCCTGTAGCCAGGCAGGACTCCCAGTGGAAAGGACAACCCATCCACAAAACCTTCCACCCAAAATTTGTCCTGCTTACAAATCTGCAGGGGCAAAGATGGAGCAGAGACTGAGGGAATGGCCAACCAATAACTGGCCCAACTTGAGACCCATCCTGTGGGCAAGAAACAATCCCTGACACTGTTAATGATACTCTGTTATGTTTGCTGACAGGAACCTAGTATAACTGTCCTCTGAGAGGCTCCATCCAGCAGCTTACTGAAACAGATGCAGAGATCCACAGACAAACATTAGATGTAGCTTGGAGAGTCCTGTGGAAGAGTTGAGGAACCTGGAGGAGATAGAAACTCTATAGGAAAACCAACAGAAGACACTTAGATGCTTGGGGGCTCCCAGAGACTGAACCACCAACCAAAGAGTTTTCAGGGGCTGGATCTCACCCCCATTCAACACATACATAGCAGATGTGCAGTTTGGTCTTCATGCACATCCCCCAACAACTGGAGGGTGGGCTGGCCCTGACTCTGCTGCCAGCCTGTGGATCCTGTTCTCCTAACTGGACTTCCTTGTCTGACCTCAGTGGGAGAGGATGTGCCTAGTCCTGCAGTGACTTGATGTGCCAGGGTAGGTTGGTACCCAGGGGAGGCCTCCCCCTTCTCAGAGAAAAAGAGGACAGGCAAAGGAGGGGCTGCATGAAGATGGACCTGTGAGGAGGGGGTTTTGAGATCGGGATGTAAAGCAAATTAATTAATTAGTAATTAATGGAAAATTAAATAAATAAAATCAATGTAATGTGTATAATGATTTGCCTGCAAGTGTGTATGCATATCATGTACATGCCCAGTGCCTGCAGAGTCCAAAACAGATTGCCAGGTCCCCTGGAACTGGAGTCATATAGGTGCTGGGAATTGAACCCAAATCTTCTGTCCTCTACAAGTATTTTAAACCATGGAGCCATCTCTCCAGCCCCACAGCCAGAGATTTTAAGATGCCCAGTCATGAGCTGGGAAGGTAGTTCTACTCCTAGAGTGCTTCCAGAAAGCTCTGGGTTTCATCCCCACTACCATATAAAACCAAGCATGGTGGTGCAGGCTAGCAATCCCGGCAGATGGGAGGTGAGGAAAGAAAGGATAGAGCTGGAATCCAAGTTCATTTTCAGCTACATAGTAAGTTCAGGGCCACCCTGACCTACTTAAGATTCCATCTCAAAAGAACTAAACAAATAAGTAAATAGACATTTTGTAGCAAGTTCAGGAATAGCCTGATCTACTTATGGCTCTATCTCAAGGTAAGTAAGTAAGTAAATACACATTTTGTAGCAAGTTCAGGGCCAGCCTGATCAACATAAGACTACCTCCAAATTAATAAATACACAGTTTTTAGATGGCCAATCATGATAGAGGCCATGGACAGTCTAAGGGTACCGGGAAATCACCATCAGGGGACACTGATAGCCATGTGCCCAGCAAGATAACAAAAATAAGTTTCCACAAACTGTTGCCAATGCTGACTTATGCACACACATAAGAGAACATGAATGAGCATTACATGCTAGGACATGCCATGGTCATGAGAAGCTAGGCTATGTCTTCCAATGCTTTTCCCTCCTGGGAATGAGATAGAAATTCCCTCCTTTTTATATAATGATCATAAATCTCCTCCTCAGCTCTTCCCACACACATCAAAATGGGAGCGCGACACAGCTCTTCAGATGACAGGCTTCAGGGACTTGACACATGAAGTGATTGAATTGTCAAGCTCCCCCTCAGTGTAGGTATCTCTCCTACCAGATCTGTATGTTGGAGGACCGGAAACAGTTTCCTCTTGCGAGCATCCCATGAGGAGCAGCTCCCATAGGGCCCACAGTTGCCTTTTTGCCAGCAATTTCCAAGTTCTTCATATTTGAGGATGACTTGTTCTTTCTCCTCATCCTGGATCTTATCCTAACTCCTGATGTCTTTTCCTTCCAGAGAGCTCACCCAACCTCCTTGGTCTCTACCTGGTGTCTCTGGCATTATCTACCATAGACATGAACTCCAGCTCCAAAGCCCATTGAACCTCTCAACCCCCAGCCCAGTTAGCTCATGTAATACCAAGACTCAGATTTCCAGACAAAATGACTCCCTTTTCACTGTAATGATGAACAGTGGACATGGACGTGTACCTTCTAGACTCATCAATAAAAACCAAAAGCTGGAGTGATACAGAATAACATCTGTATCACTTAACTAAAGCTTAGGTGGGAGAGATGTCTTTCTAAAAGGGTCATAGTGATTCTGGTCTGGGAACATGGCTCATGTTTGTCTCCATTGGATGTACTGAAATGCTTTGGACAATGTAAATACTCACGTGTGTAGAGGTGTTTTCCTTCAGAGATGAGTGTAATACTCAATGCAGGGGTTCTCAACCTTCTTAATGCTATGACTCTTTAATATAGTTTCTAGTGTTGTGGCGACTCTCCCAACATAAAATTATTTCCATTGCTACTTGATAACTGTAATTTTGCACCAGCTCTGAACTGTCATATGATATCTGTGTTTTCCAACAGTCTTTGGGGGTTCATGACCCACATGTTGAAAACCATTGCTATAAGGTATGAAACATCTGCACCAACAGTGCCAGTGACAGACAGACAAATCAAAGACAACAGGGACATCTGGGGAGTCAAAAGAAACAAGACAATGGACTTTCAGAAAAGTCTTTAAGGTTGGTAATTCATTTGGAACATGGTGAATATATAGAAGAGTCTGGGAAGGCAAAGGCTTCTGGGAATTCTCCAAGTCCTCCTTCGTCTCTGCCACTCAGCCCCTGGCACAGCATCCTTGTCAGGTACCTGGGGATTTGCCTGTTTGGACCTGAAGGTAAATCGTGTTTTCTTTGGCCTTTGATTTCCTGTACCATAAATAAATAAATAAATAAATAAATAAATAAATAAATAAATAAATAAAATTAATGAACAGTCAATGCCTTGTTTGTCTGATTCTTGAAAGAGGGTCTTGTAATATAGCCCTTGCTGGCCTGTCACTCAATGGAAATGCTGGTCTCAAAGTCACTATATAGATTAGGCTGCCTTAGTGTCCCAAGTATTGGAATGACAGTAACAAAACCATCATGCTTGATTTAACAATCTTGACAATGAAACTAGCAAAGTTGAGACATGGGGAACATTGTGTAAGATGGGGCAGAAAGAAGAAAGAGCCAGAGGATGGGTACACGTGCTATGTAACACTGTCTTCTGGACATGATATGGCCATCACACCCATGAGCTCACTGTAACTATGGTTACCTACATGAGACCTGTACAAGATCAAGCCAGTAAGTTCAGTCCAGATTCCAACAGGCAGCACTGGTTGGATTTATTGGTTGTGGGACAGTACTATGCTCTGAGCAGAACCACTACCCTTTTCCTCAGACAGCTGTGTCTGTGAAAGATCACCACAGCTGGACTGTTGACATTCTCTTCTAAGAGGAGGATGGATGTGGGGAGGACCATTAGACTCTACTAAGTATGCAGTCCCTCCTCCCAGCCAGGTATACGCAGTCTGCCCTAATTATATGACCTTAGGGTCTCAGGGAGATGCTAGGGTGTGTAAACTGAGGAAACCTAGAAGAATGTCCTCCATCCATATGAGGGGACGACTTTCCAGTGCTGCTGCTTTTGGTTCACCCATGATATTACTTATAACCCCTGACACAGGATCTGTAAGTAATTCCAATATACCTATTGGTTTCCCAGGAATAATTCTGATAGAATCAAACTTTAGTTTGTCACTGGGACCTTAGAAGGAGTAAGGGAAATACATTGTCTCGTTTCCTTGCCCAGGAGAAAAAAATCTCAAAAAATGGAGTACCAAAAACAAAAACAAACAAACAAGCAAAAAGAACAGAACAAGACATGGGGGAGAGGAATACACTGCAAGAAACTGGGGGATATGTTGGGGAGACAGAGTACCTGGGAGAAGCATTGCAGGGGGGGGAGACAGAGTATCTGGGGGAAGTGTTACAGGACAGAGTGTCTGGGGGAAGTGCTGGGGGACAGAATACTTGGGGGGAGTGCTGGGGGACAAAGTACCTGGGGGAAGTGCTGGGGGACAGAGTGCCTGGGGGAAGTGCTGGGGGACAGAGTGTCTGGGGGAAGTGCTGGGGGACAGAGTATCTGGGGGGAGTGCTGAGGGACAAAGTGTCTAGGGGAAGTGCTGGGGGACAGAGTGTCTGGGGGAAGTGTTGGGGACAGTTGCCAGTAGATAGGATCAAGATGGGTTATTTACAGGTATAAAACTGTCAACAAATAAAAAGAGAGAGATGTTCTGTTTTAAGAAAAGAAAAAAATGCAGGAGTGTCTCAAAATGGAGAGAACAGGAGAGCTGGCAATAGAGAAAGACCGGGCTTCCTATGGATGGCTCTCACACTGCTTCTGGTATGGCCTTTAAGTTAACAATAGAACAAACGCTGCCTACATTAGAGTTCAGACCAGAAGTGTGCAGCCTTCCCCGCTCCTACAGGCAGGAGTGGACGGACGGAAG